ACTCTGAAGACCCCATTGGTTTCCTCTCCCATGGACACAGTCACAGAGGCTGGGATGGCCATAGCAATGGCGGTGAGCCCCATGGGGCAAGGACGGGAGAAGCAGGGGTATCATCCCCTTTCCCTAAAGCATCTAGTCTTTCCCTCAATTCTCTGTCATTTATTTCTTCTCTTCTGTGTATATGTAGCTTACAGGCGGTATTGGCTTCATCCACCACAACTGTACACCTGAATTCCAGGCCAATGAAGTTCGGAAAGTGAAGGTTAGAAGGGCTAGGATTATGGCCAAGATCTGGGAAATGCACTGAGGTGTAGTGGGGTGGGAGTGGGAATTTGTTCTGCTAATTTATGATCCTTCCCACCATGGGTATCAATTACTAGAGAGAGCCTGGGATCCTTTTTAAGGCTCAGAAAAGGAACGGGTGGACAGTGCCTTTAGCCCACCACGTCTCTGAGAGGTGTTTGTGCAATTTCGTCCTGTGGGACTGCCAAAGGTGGTGTTAGGCACAGACTGCTTCATACCAAAAGCCTGATGAAAGTGGTTCAGAAATGCAACACCTGTTTTCACCATCCTTTCCAGAAATATGAGCAAGGATTCATCACAGATCCTGTGGTCCTCAGCCCCAAGGATCGTGTGCGGGATGTTTTTGAGGCCAAGGCCCGGCATGGTTTCTGTGGTATCCCAATCACAGATACAGGTCGGATGGGGAGCCGCTTGGTGGGCATTATCTCTTCAAGGGACATTGATTTTCTCAAGGAGGAAGAGCATGACCTCTTTTTGGAAGAGGTAGGTACCACTGGTAGAGCACAGCCAAGCTCTGGCAGCCCAGGCTAAAGACCAAGAGGATTCTTTTGCCCATATGACATCTAAAGACTCTTCTCTCCAGGAAGAAGTGCACAGCCAGGTTTATGGCTCCTTCAAGCTCTCAAACTGTCTACATGCTTGCCAGCATTTATGCTTTGTTCTTTGCTTCCCCTAGTGTAAGGGCAGTGCTCAAAGAACAATATCAGTCTTCCTTTTCTAATTCTCTTGACCTTGTTCCTGTATGATTTACTCTTCTCCATAGTGCAAGAGGCTGCTTTTTGTGCCATTTTGTCTTTTATGCTCAATTCTCCCTCTTACTGCTATATTGCTATAGGGACTTTTGAATTCCCTTAAGGGTGGTCTAGGTGCAAGTATGTGAACGGTGTGGTCTTGAGAACCTCTCCTGAGTTAGGACAGGGTCTTTGGAGAGGTCTGATTTATGACTGGCTCTTTCTCACAATCCCCATTCCCTCCTAGATCATGACAAAGAGGGAAGACCTGGTGGTAGCCCCTGCAGGCATCACACTGAAGGAAGCAAATGAAATACTGCAGCGCAGCAAGAAAGGTAAATCCTAGAGATGGGAAGGGGCCTGGAACTAATGCTCAGGGTCTTAATTAACGTCCTGCCTTCACCTCAGGAAAATTGCCCATTGTGAATGAAGATGATGAGCTGGTAGCCATCATTGCCCGGACAGACCTGAAGAAGAACCGAGATTACCCACTGGCATCCAAAGATGCTAAGAAGCAGCTTCTGTGTGGGGCAGCTATCGGGACTCATGAGGATGACAAGTATAGGCTGGACTTGCTCACCCAGGCTGGTGTGGATGTAGTGGTTTTGGTGAGCTGCTACACAGGCAAGTAGTAGTAGTAGGGGTAGCTGCCATATCACAGTCTGACTAGGACTTACTTCCTGTCACAGGATTCTTCCCAGGGAAATTCCATCTTCCAGATTAATATGATCAAGTACATCAAAGAGAAATACCCTAATCTGCAAGTCATTGGAGGCAATGGTAAGGCAAGATTGGGCACTGAAGGATGTGTGGTGGTAGTGGAGCTTGGCTCCCACCAGACCTTCACATGAGCCTTTGCCCTCCCTCACTTTAGTGGTCACTGCTGCCCAGGCCAAGAACCTCATTGATGCGGGTGTGGATGCCCTGCGAGTGGGCATGGGAAGTGGCTCCATCTGCATCACCCAAGAAGGTAGGAATATGCTTTGTCAGCCCACAGAGACCCTGGCTTCAGGCCCCACATGCCTTGAAGCCAAGCACTCTCATGGGACCAATACCAAGTCCTCCAATAGGGGCAAACCTCGGGCCAAATTGGCCTCTTGGATGGGTAACATGGCTAGACACAAGACAAGTTCTTGTCATACTTCATGTCACTCCCTTGCCTAGCCTGGCCTCCTTGCTCCTGCTCTGCACCCTCTCTAAACTCTGGTCTGTTTGTTTTATTTAGCGGCTCCCAAGATCCCTCCAGACATAAAGTCCCACAGCCCCAAATGCCCTTCTACTGTCACGGGCTGCTATAGTAAGTCCAGCCTGGCCCACTGGCCCGGCCCAGCTGCCCACTGCCCAGCTGCTTGGTTGACTGTAGCTGTAGCTCCTGGGGTTTGTGGTGCTGACGGGTGGGCAGGGCAAACTGTTGTATAGACCACAGTTTTGGGGCTGTTGGAGAACACAGCTTCACCCTCCTCCTGGGATGTTGACAGGGAAGGACTTCTTTCCCTAGGGCAGACCCTGCCCTGCCCACATCTTATGCAATAGGCATGGCTCAAGGACCAATTCTGGAGCCTCTCTCTTCCATATGACTACCACCCTGACCTTGCCTGAGCTGTCCACCATGCAGGGAGGAAGGGTGGGCCTGACTCAGTGCCTCTGGGTACTAACTGCACGGTGACTCATGCCCCATCTGATACCACCTGGGTGGGGCTTTCCAGGCTGTTACGATTGCATATGCCTAAGGCTGCCTTGGATACTGCACACATGCACGTGCACACGCAGGGGTGAGTGAAGACCAGCACAATTTGTACAGTTTGAGGCAGATGGGGCAGCAGCCATCCCAGATACATCTCTTCCTCAGCCAAGCTGCAGTCCGAGTACAGGTGTAGGTAAAAGTTTCTGGGTGCTATGTATAGTCACAGTACCTATTGCCTATCCCCACTAATCCTTTCCATCTACCTATTCCTCCATCTCAACAGTGTTAGCCTGTGGGCGGCCTCAAGCAACAGCAGTGTACAAAGTGTCAGAGTATGCACGGCGATTTGGTGTTCCTGTCATTGCTGATGGAGGAATCCAAAATGTGGGCCATATTGCCAAAGCCTTGGCCCTTGGGGCCTCCACAGGTAAGGCCCTGGAGGCTGGTGGGCCCCTTCTCCAGTGGTGCTGAAGCTCTGCCCAAAATATTCCATTCTATCCACAGTCATGATGGGGTCCCTCCTGGCTGCCACCACTGAGGCCCCTGGTGAGTACTTCTTCTCTGATGGGATCCGGCTAAAGAAATATCGAGGTATGGGTTCTCTTGATGCCATGGACAAGCATCTCAGCAGCCAGAACCGATATTTCAGGTGGGACAAACAGATCAATTACACCCCCCACCCCATCCCTGCACTGACAGTTCTGCCTCTGCTCTGACCTTGTCCATGTCTCTGCCTCTCCCTGCAGTGAAGCTGACAAAATTAAAGTGGCTCAGGGGGTATCTGGGGCTGTACAGGACAAAGGGTCCATCCACAAATTTGTCCCCTACCTGATTGCTGGCATCCAGCACTCCTGTCAGGACATTGGTGCCAAGAGCTTGACCCAAGTCCGGTGAGCTTGGGGATCTGGGACAGGATTAGAGGGGCTGATCCAGAATCAGCTACCCACATTTGATATCTATCTGTCTTCAGAGCCATGATGTACTCTGGGGAGCTTAAGTTTGAGAAGAGAACATCCTCAGCTCAGGTGGAAGGTGGTGTCCATAGTCTCCATTCGTAAGTAACCCTTTTCCTACGTAGGAGCTTTTGCCATGCCTTGTGCCTTACTTCCCACCCTCAGCTCACAGGTTGTCCATCTGTTTGCAGGTATGAGAAGCGGCTTTTCTGAAAAGGGGTCCAGCATGTCCCTGTGGTTTTTTCAATAAAAGTTTAAAAAAAGAAAGTGATGCCTGATCTTTGAGGTCATTAGCCAGGTGGGATTCTGCAGCTGCCACCACCACACAAATTTCCAGGGGGGGTAGGTACCTGAGACAAAAGTGATCCATGGACCTGGAAAGGAGTGGTTCCAGTTTCAGATAGTTCCTCCTGAGGCTGCTGTAGCCAGCCCTAATTAGCTATGGCTCTAGTGAGTTCATTCTCACAGAGTATCTAACTTTGTGCCTCCCTAGGAAGTGTCCCAGAACAATCCATAGGACTGGTATACACAGGCCATCCTGTTAGCTCAAAGCTTGTCCCTAAGTTAAATCTCTAAATGGTGGCTGGGCGCTGTGGCTCACACCTATAATCCTAGCACTCTGGGAGGCCGAGGGGCTGGTGGGTTGCTTGAGCTCACAAGTTTGAGATCAGCTTGAGCAAAAAGTGAGACCCCAATCTTTACTTGAAAATAGAAAAACTGGCTCGGCACCTGTGGCTCAAGGGGCTAA